TGTTCAGCAAATATATAAAAAGCATCTCCTCTGTCCCTGGCACTGTGCTGAGAGCTGGGGCTAGAGTTGTAAGAGCTGTAGCTCTGTTCCCATGGGGAGTTGAACTGGGCACTCTTGAGATTTGAAGTCATAACTTTGAAGAAGAAAAGCCTGGACTTGTTGGCTGCTGATTGGACAGCTTTTTGATAGTCATCCTTCTATTTCTGAGCTCTTATGGGATGCTGGTTCTTTCAATGACCCTTCGACTTGCAGTATGGATGAGAGCCCCTATCAATATGCTCCTAATGATTAGCGAGTCTTTTCGACCTTGTTTCTAACTCAGGGGCCAGTTGGTTTCTCTTGAGAACCATAAGTTCTATAGATGTCTGTCTTATTTTCTACAGCTCTCTGATAATTGGACAGCTTTCTGAGAATATTGGATATCACTGGGCTTTAAAAAATGACTGAGTCAATGAGCTGTCTTTTTGCCTCTGTCTCTCTGTGTCTGTCTCTGTCTGTCTCTCTGACTCTCTCTCAATGTCTGATATATATATATATACATATACATATATATATATATATATATATATGTCTGACTCTCTCTCTGAATGTGTGTGTGTGTGTGTGTGTTTCCCAGTACTAGGGATTGAACCCAGGGATTTGAATGTGCTGTATTACAGCTGGCCTCATGGGCCCCAGCTCTTTTGTTTTCATTCTGTTTCTGAGATAAAGTTTCAATAACTTTGCTTTTTTGACCACCCCAGTAACTGGGATTACAGATATATACCACAACACTTAGTTATACTATTTGTTTTCATTAGAATATAGTACAAGAGATAACTGACTTGTAGCTCAGTGGTAGAGCACTTGCTGAGTGCTTAGGCTCAAGTCTTGATGTCTAGTACCATCCTAAATAAATAAATAAATAGTATAAGAATTGATATAGCACAAAATTACATGTTTATTTATATTAATAGACTATAGTTTTGTGGTGTTTTGAAAACTGTAAGTTAACTAATGGGCATTTCACTATGACCAAGTTTCCAACTATGAGTTTCAACCAATAGGTTAAGATATTTTTCTAGGAGGGAAGAATAATTAGATAATTAGATAGTCTTCAAACAGAACAGTAACTTCCATGAACTGAAAGCCTATTGTATTCTAGGTACTGCTTTAATAACTTCACACGTATTATCACATTTAATCTGTAAAATGATTCCTTGTGGAAAGTACCATTTTACAGACAAGGAAAGAATTTAAGTACTCAGAACTAGGTTCTAGAGCTGGCATAACAGTGAGTCAAACCTAAGCAAATTCAGATGGATCTGACTTAGCTTTTTTGTTTTTCATCCTAATGGATTATAGTGTATAACAAAATACCTATGGTCTTCTCTTTCTGGACATTCTACTTCCATTATTGGGCTGGAGGCATGGTTCAGGAGGTAGAGCACCAGCCAGTAAGTGAAAATGTCAGGTAATGAATTGGAGTCCTGGTCTTGGACAATAAAAGAAAAGAAGTAATAAGGCATTAATTTGTTTTTAGCAGCTTGATCACAAGCCCTTTTTAGTATTCACTGAACTTATAATCAATCATTGAAAATACCTAAGTATTCAAAGCAATTAGAGGCATGGATCAATTGGTAGAGTGCTAGCCAATGAATGAAAGCAGCAGGTACCGATTTTGAGTTCTGGTCTCAGACCTAAAAAGAAAAAAAGACTAGAATAAGACTAATTTTGGGGATCATCTAATAGATTTGGGTGTGCCTGTGTGCATGTGTGTGTGCGTGCATGTGTGTGTGCGTGCATGTGTGTATGTGTGTGTGTGTGTTGGTACTGGGGCTTGAACTCAGGGCCTCAAATTCTTGCTTTCATTTTTTAAATTATATTGTATTTTGTTGTAAAGGTGCTGTACAGAGGGGTTACGGTTACATAAGTAAGGTAATGAGTATATTTCTTGCTGAACATTGTTGCCCCCTCCTTTGTTTTTCTCCCACTATCCCTCACCCCCATTCCTCTTTCCCGCCACCTTCCTGAAGTTGTAAAGCTGATTTCCAACCTAGCGTCTTGTGAGTATTATTGTTGTATTGGGTCACTCTTTGTCCTGTTTCACCATCTTGTTATTCCCCTTCCACTCAAGGTTATCACTCTACACGTGATAGCTTTTTGCTGGTTAATTGAAGAGAAGAGTCTTGTGGACCCTTTTTTTTTTTTCATGAGCTGGCTTTAAACCTAGATCCTCAGATCTCAGCCCCCTGAGTAGCTAAGATTACAGGCATGAGTCACCAGCACACAGAGCCTAGTGGATGCTTTGGATATGAAGTGTGTGCTGTATTTTCTTCCTTATCCAGTGTCCATCCATTTGTGTCTGTGTATAACTCAGCTCCTAAATTATTCTCAATTCTGACTCTGTTATCTCAGTTCTGTGTCTCTAACAGAAATGATAAGTATATCATCTGCCAACCTCTCCTAGGTTACTGATAAAGTTACTGAGTAGAACAAGAACAATTTTTGTTCCTGTGCTGGGAGAGGGATTTATTATGCTTGACTACAACCAACGATTATCTCATGAGACGATCTCAAAGTCATGGTTCTGAAAGCATTAGGCAAACATTTTCCTTACTTTCTTATGACTTTCTAAACCTCAGGCCAATTAATAATTTGGACTAGAGAATTTTTTGCTGTGGGAAACATTTTTGGTACAATGTAAGAGGTTTAATAGCATCCCTGGCTTCTGCCCACTAGGTACAAATAATGGTGTCCCTACTCCCACCTGACAACTGGTGATGTCTCTAGATATTGTTGGATGTTTCCATTCATACAAAAATGCTTCCTCTATTCTGTACAACCACTGCTCTAACATTAAAAATAGATTAGTTAATAATCAATTATTTGCCTAAGCCTTGATGATTTCTATGAACACTAAAGAAGACCTGGTCCTTGATTTTAGGAAGATTATATTAACAGAGACATGACCAACTCCACAGACAACTGTAGAAAAATTGTCCACTACTGAGTGATCCTGTATTACTATAAGCATTCAGAGAGCCTGGAGGCCTCAGTGACAGAACACCTGCCTAGCAAGCATAAGGCTCTGAGTTCAAATTCTAGTACTGCAAACAAAAAATTATTAGCTAAGCGCTGATGGCTCATGCCTGTAATCCTAGCTCCTTATAAGCCTGATATCTGAGGATCACAGTTTGAAGCCAGCCTGGGCAAGAAAGTCCATGAGACTCTTATCTCCAATTAATCATAGAAAAAGCCAGAAGTGTTGCTGTAGTTCAAGTGGTAGTGTGCTAGCTTTGAGCAAAAGGAGCTTATAGACTGTGTCCATGCCCAGAGTTCAAGGCCCAGGACCAGCAAAAAAAAAAAAAAAGAAAGAAAGAAATTATTAAATAGGTATACAATACAAAAAATAGAGAAATGAGAACAAAAATTATATAAGCATAATTAATATATTTAGGTATCTATATTTTTATACATAGGAAAATCCTCAGATATAGGCATCTTCTACACCAAAAACCAGAACATGTAATTTGATATGTAGTTTGATAGTAGGCAGAATATTTATAGTCCTCCCTCTCCTGGGGAATTTGAAGTTTATAGTTTCAGAAGATTCAAAGATCATGGGTGACAAGACATTCAGGAGGAAGAGTAATGCTAAAGAAAAGAAAAAAAAGCAGGTATAGTGGCTCATGCCTCTAATCCCAGCTATTCAGAGATGGGGAGGATTTGGATTTGAGATCAACCCTAGGACAAAAAAAGTTTAGCAAAACCTCATCTCAATCAATAACTGGACATGGTGCTGTGCAAGTGTAAAAGGGAGCATCTTGGTCTAGAAGAGACCCTACTCCAAAAATAAATAAAGCAAAAGGGACTGGGGGCTCAGGTGCCTGTGTGGGAAGGGCCTGAGTCCAAGCCTCAGTACCACCAGGGTGGGAACAGGCCTGAGTCCAAGCCTCAGTACCACCAGGGTGGGAACAGGCCTGAGTCCAAGCCTCAGTACCACCAGGGTGGGAACAGGCCTGAGTCCAAGCCTCAGTACCACCAGGGTGGGAACAGGTCTCGGAGCCACAGAAGTTGAGTCTCAGGTTCTTGAGTAGAAGAACACCAATATGAAAGGGATGGAAGACAGGCTATCTGGAAGTGGGTGGTTTGGAGTGAACATGCTTCAGGGTATAGGAGATATGGTTTGCGTTGGTGAGAGATGGTCACAGGATGCTCAGAAGGGCAGAGGAGAGGGGTTTGGGAAAGCCATCTGGAAGGATAAGGTAGAGTAAGCTCTGAAGGTCTATTTTGGACATTTAAGATTAGCTACTGTCTTAATAGAGCCAAAGTTCTTGTTTTGGAAATAGAACAGTCTTGTCATTATTTTCCTTTAAAAGTGCCTACTATGTTTCTTTTCCTTCATTCACCATATTCCTATTGCTCTTTCCTTTGGGATAAGGGAGAGCTGGCATTGGATCAGGGTTAGGAATGCTGGGTAGGATCTGAGCTGGAAGGAATTAAAGAAGTGGCAGTTTCTCCATATGTGTAGGGGAAAGAACCTGACCAGTGGCAACAGCTGCTGATGGCAGAGTAAGGTGGCAGCACCTGGTTAATGTAGGTGACATTAAACATCTGAGGAGGATTGTGGCAGGCCAGGCCTCTGACCCCTGACTGCCTATTGGCTGAGTCTACAAAAGCAATTGAATCAGGTATTACCACAGAACAAGCTCTGTCCCTGGAGGAAGAAGAGGACTCACACCTGTGGTGCCAGTCTTTTCTTGTTTTAGTTCAGAACGTCTACTAGAATCAGAGTTTCTTGGGATGGGGGGAGATGAGTGGGTTGGGGGAGGGGAGGGGTGGTTTGAGCTAGACTCTGATTAGGCATGCCTCTGAACCCACCAGGTAGCTTCCTTTCTCTTATTTATCTCTTTCTCTTGTTAAAATACAGTTTAGAAGGGAAACTTGTCAGTCATGGAATCCGGCACTACCTAGGGACAAATATTGGCTGCTTCAGTATAAAATGTTTTTTTTTTTTTATTTCAAAATGCAAAATGGTGATCATAGTAACAACAACGACGACGACAGTAATAATAACGGTATAGATATATAAAAAAAGCCATTTCTCCTTCCTCCCTAGTGCAAAACCATAGACTCTCAGAGAGCTTTAAAGACACAGTTTGTCTTCATCGTCACAACACGTTGCTGCACGGCAGCAAAAAGTCGATCTCGAACCCCTTCTGGGTGGATCTCGGTGGTGGGTCGGTGCGAGACGCGGCGCGGTGGCGGGCTGGCTTCTCCACGCAGCCGGGGCTCCGGCCCGCTCCGCCCCACCTCCTCCCCGGGGCCCTAGGAGGCGTGCTGCCGGTCGGCGCGGCTGCAGGGCGGGGCCTCGGGCGGCCGCTTCGGGCCCTTCTCCGGCCGGGCCTGCGGCGGGCGGAGCGCCTGTCCCGCCTGTCGCGCCCGCGCGTCCCGCAGCTCGGCCGCCGCCGCCGCCTCCTCGCGCAGACGGCTGGCGGCGGCGAAGGGGCTGCACACCGTCTCCACCAGGCCCAGCACGGCGCCGACCAGCGCCAGCACGCTGCCCAGCACGTACAGCTTCACCAGCTTGCCTCTGGGCTTCTGGGCCATCATCTCCTTGGCCAGGGGGATCAGCTCCTGGACGGCTTCCATCTCAGCCCCGGGGTGGAGGGGGGGTGTGGGGGGCGGGCGGGACCTGCAGGGGTCGGGGCTGCGGGGTGGGGGTGGGGGGCGTCCGTTAGTCCCGGTAGATAGATAGGGAGGATGGCTTATGTTTCCCGGGGTTCCCTGGGCAGCGCCCCCTCCCCCTTCCCGGGCACGGGGCGGGGGGTGGTCCGGGGAGGTGGGGGTGGGCTCACCTTCGTGACCGCCTGGGCTGGAAGCGGCCAGCAGGAGCGAGCTGGTGGCGGTCAGTCTGTGCGTCAGTCCGTCCTGGCCGGCCTGGGAGCTCTCCACCACGGCCTCCTCCTCCTCCTCCTCCTGCTCAGCAGCCCTTCTAGATGGAGATACTGCAGCTGGCGCCCCATCCGCCTCCCCGGCCCGCTTATATCTTCAGCCGGAGACACGCCTCCCCGGCTGGAGGGCTTGGCTGGCTCCAGCCCGCCGGGCCCGCGCCAGAGACCGGAGGGGGCGGGGAGGAAGGTGAGGAGGAAGAGAGGGAGGAGGAGGGCCTGGGAGGGGGGGGTGTCCGAGAGGGGGATTGGAACGGGCTGGGGCCTGGCAGGAGGCCTCCGCAGAGCCCTGCTCCCCACGCAGGTCCCAGGCCGGGAGGGGGGGGAAGGAGGGGGGGGAGGGGGGGAGGGGAGAGGAGGGAGGGAGGGAAGGGGGAAGGGAGGGGGAGGAGGCGTCCACCTGCATTCCTGCCAGGGGCCCTTTCTTAGTGGCCTTCAGTGTGTGCAGGGGCAACCTGAGGAGGGGCCCACTGATGAGGAAATCTGGGGATTCTAAGGGACAGATGTACAGATTTCTTATGTTTCCTCCCAACAGTCACCTTCCCACGGGGGATACGGGGTGGTGGGGATCCGAGAGAATGCAAGGGGGTGGGCAGGATCCTACAAGTGAACAGATCTCCATGTGTGCAACAGGTCACCTCCATCCAGTGCACAAAGCAGTATGTTCTCACATTTTCTTGGCCTGATGGGTTGTAATTCAAAGGTTTCATACGTTGCTAGAATAGATCACTTATTAGAAAACTATTCGTTGAGGGTGTTCTTTTATGCATAGAGGTGTGTGTGTGAGAGAAAGATATATATATAGAGAGAGACAGAAAGAGAGACACAGAGAGAGAGAGAGAGGCTGCTTTTTGAACTATATCTACTTCGATGTATCAGGGAACAGCTATAGGTCCCCAATTTTCCCCACTTACACTGGAGAAGTGAACTCTGGGGCTGGAGAATGTAAGCATGGAATGGGGCTCTTAGTTAAAAAACAACAACAACAAAAAACCGATCTGCTTGTCCAAAATGAAATATTTCATGTTCTTTTCAATAATTCTCTGCCACTCCCTTGAACTGGTGGATGAAATTCTCCTGTGCTGGTTCAGCTGCATAATAAATGACAGGAGAGGCGCAGTAGGGAGCTTGGGTAAGAAGCTAGGGTTTAAAAAAGAAACAAAAGACCCCAGAAGGTGGGAAAGGGGCAGAAGCTGGAGTTAGATATAGGGTTAAGGATTGGACAAGGATGAAACACAATCCCCTGGTTGGATGGTTGGAGGTTGGGGGGGGGAGGGCTCTAATTTAGCTTTGGTTATGCATGTACCTGTGTTAGCAAAGTGCAGAGGGAAGGAGAGGCAAATAGGCCAAAGGGCTTTAAGCAGGGAAAGGGGAAGAGCAGGGGGAGGAAATCAAACTGGCCAGAAGATTGCAAAGTTCACTGATGCAATCTTACAACAGCCTTCCCAGTCAGTCTGGCTGAGCCCCGTAGTCATAGGGGAAAGGGTGCTTCTCTTGGGGGTCTGAGGTTGCTTCCCAGGCAATGCAGTAATAAAGGCAAGTAAGTATTAGCCATAAATTCTATCCTTTTCCCCTGCCCTGAGTAGTTCAGGTAAGGGTTTGTGGGTGGAGAATGAGATTATTCTTGGAGCATTGTGTCCTCAGTGTATTATTCTTTGAACCTAGTCAGGCGAGGAAATTCTGTAACTAGGGTCCAAGCCAAGTTTAGTTTCAGTCTTGGCATTTTCTTCCACATAATTTTTAAGCACTCCCTAATGATGGGCAGAAGTGATTTGTGAGCTTTCCCAGTACCCATGAGTGTTCCATACAAGGTGGCAACCTGGTGGGACTATGCTGTGCCTCTTGATATAAGGGCCTTGACTTGGTTTCTGCTCCAAAGGTGAGTCAGCCTGCCTTTGAACCCAAAACTCCAAAATTGACCAAGCAGCAGTGAGCATTTCCTGTGTTGCGGTTACTCAAAGACGCAAACCATACATATATCCTCCGTGGTCAACAGGTTGCAATGCATCTGAAGTTCCCCTTTCTTGTTAATTTCCCAAGTTATAGCACGTCTAAAATGAGCATCCTTTTTCACTTCTTTGATAATCTGGCTTTTACCCCCAGGTTCTACCAGCTTGCATCAAGGGCTAAGGCAGAGGGAAGAGCATGTGGCATGGATTGAGGTCACTGGTATCTGGTTTAGGTGGTAGTGATAGGGCAGTCACAGGCAAAGAAGTCCAGGGGCAGTTCATGCCCAGGAATTTCCAAGCACAGCTCCTAGGTCTGGGTGGGAAAAGACAGCCCAGTTCCTGGGTGGGAGGTGGAGAGGCCAAGAAGCACTTGGGAACTAAACAGGTACTTTGGCTGGGGTAAGTTTACTTTTAGAGAAGTGGTTTATTGTCTTACATGGGTCATTCACTGGTTATAGCCATGAAGGAAGGTCAGAATAAGCTATAATGACAATCCATCCTTCCTTTTTTTTTTTTTTGCCAGTCCTGGGGCTTGAACTTAGGGCTTGGGCACTGTCTGTGAGCTTTTTTTGCTCAAGGCTAGCACTCTACTACTTGAGCCACAGAGGTACTTCTGGCTTTTTCTGTTTATGTGGTACTGAGGATTCGAACCCAGGGCTTCATGCATGCTAGGCAAGCACTCTACCACTAAGCCCCATTCCCAGCCACACAATACATCTATTTTATTCAGGGTTGAGGGGTGTGTGTGTGTGTGTGTGTGTGTGTACAGTTTTGAGAAGACTGGAACAGTTAGTCATCCTACATGTATTAGCCCATTTTCTGTTGCTGATAACATAATACCATGAGTTAGCTAAGATAATAGGCAAGAGACTTAGTTTGGCTTCTGGTTCTGGAGGTACAAGGGCAAGGGGCCATATTGGTGATGACCTTGCTAGTGAATTCCCAATAAAATACAGGGAGCAAGAGACAGGGCTATGTGTGCTTATGTGTGTCTCTCCTCCTCCTCCTCCTCTTCCTCCTCCTCCTTCTGCTATCAGGGTTCAATCAAGGGCTTCACCCCGATGACTTTATCTAATCCTAATCACCTCCCAAAGATCATACTTCTAAATGCCATATTTAGATTAAGTAAGCACATTTGATACTTCATATGAGTATTAAAGTCCAACTCCCCTCCACCCTCCCACTCAAACCATATCCAAACCACAACACTGTCAGGTCTATCCAGCATTTCATTCTCGTCCTTCCTAAGAACTGGTAGGACCAGTTTAAAATTCATTTAATTTGTATTCCAAAACTCTCTCTCCTACACATTAAAACACAGCATCTGTTGAAGGAGGAAAAAAAAATCACAATAGGGTAACATGTAGTCCAAGCGGTGAATAAAGGCTGAAGAGGGAGAGCTATTCCTGCAACTATGCCTGATGTTGAAGGGACAGAGGACAGAAGTCTTTCAGATGGTTTGTCACGAATGTACTTCTGTTTGTTTGTTTGTTTATTTACTTACTTACTTACTACTACTACTACTACTACTACTACTACTACTACTACTAGCTGCTTGCTACTTATACCATCACTGTCCACCACTGGAATTCAAAAGACTGAAGAGAAGGAAGAAGTCACCATTGGATACTCTATAATTAGCTGTGTGTTTTGTACTTCACTTATTTTTTTTCTTGTTTTGACTGTTTGATTTAGTTATTTCATGTCAATGAATTTTACAGAGAAGGATTTTTGTGACTCAAATATTAATGGATGGTTTAATTTTCTATTCAGTACTGGAGATTGAACTCATGGCCGTGTGCTTGTGAGCACCTGCTCTACTTAACCCACAACAGATGATTTTTAAAGGTCCATGCCTAGTCTTTATCTCCTCTGGTCTTGAGAGTTTAGACCTTTCTGCGTGGCTATCCACTGTGGTCACAGACTTGGCATACTGAACATAAGATTCCTTGCCATCTCTGTACTTTCAAACGAAGTTCCCTTTCAATATTGCCAATGCAATTTATTGGTTCTTGGGCCTGAAATGTTGTGCCAGTTTCCTGACCAGGCCTTCTCTGACTTTACCATCTTGTCACTCTCTCTTTGGTGTCCTGCTTTGTCACCTAATCTTATGTAGAAGAAGTATTGAACTGTCTTTCAGTTCCATTAAAGGATGAGTTTAATGAGGGCTGGAACTTTGTTTTGTTCTTTACTATGTTCCTGTGCCTGGTATAATCATTGGCACATAGTAGGTCCTCAATAGTTAACTATGGGTTTAATTTCTCCGGTGGACTGTGGATTTTGGCAGGGATGGGACTATATTATATTCACATGTAGTCAGACTTTGAGTGGATACTCAAAAAAGCATTTGAGTCTTTTGATGGACAGCTTTTAGCCCTAAATCCTTTCTTTTCTAATCCATTTTGAAGACTCCAACCAAACATCTCTTTTTAAACTTCTAGATTCTATTGTTAATTACTTTAACATACCAGGAGATAACTTCCTAGATTATGCATGCTGAATTTTCAAGACCTAATATTCTTGGAAAAAAGGACTCATTTGGTCTGATCTTTCCTACTCATCTGATTTGTATCTCCTATTCTTCTCCCACAAGAAGTCTTTACTGAGGAGTTTTTTCTAAGCCCCCAAACAATCCCTTCTCATTACTGTTGAGGAAAATACTCAGCCATTCTCATTGCTCATGCCTGCACACACGGTTTTCCCTATCCTCTTTCTATTCTATCTTCCTTTTTTCTTGGAGACCAAGTTCAAATTCGTGAGCTCCGAGAAGCCTCCACTGCCTATGCCAGTACACCTTGCTCTCTTCTTTCTGTGAACTGTAGCTGCCTTTGTGGTTCCTTCTACATGCATTGGCACTGGATAGCACTGATTTAAACAATGCTCTCATTGTTTCTTGTGAGCTTCATCTCAGTGGAAGACCAAATCTATATTTTTTCATGGGGTCGTATATAATGGGTCCCAAATCAATATCAACCTAAAAGTCAGTGTGGGGATAGAGATTGCAAAATGACCAGTAAAGACTCTGGGGAAAGTTATTTTTAGGCATAGTATCCCGTCCTTGGCTCAGTGCCTTGGGACTGAAGTTGCCCAAGATCTGGCAAGTTGGCTTCATTCCCTCAACTCTAGCCTGCTCACCTTTCACTTCCACTTCCA